ATGTTGATCGCTTTATTGTGTACTCTTTTCTTTTTATGCTTATTCTAACCTCCTATCTATATGGATTAGAAGGATAATCTTCCGATTGGCACATTCATTTTCTTAAGATGTCATTTGGGGATTACTTTCGTGAAACTTTACCTTTCACGTTAAAATGAGAACGGTTAAAAGGGAAGGAGTCCATTTGAAGATGGGGGGAAAATACCACTAGCGTGGTAGCGATGCTTCTACTATTTGGCTCATTCTTTTTATGCTTTCCATTTCACATTCCTTGGATGAAGCAAAAAACCTCAGAAGAATTTACAGTTAGGTGTGGTACCACCTGTGCGCATCTTCCTCCTTTTGTATTTTTAGCAGTCGATGGATGTTACATAGGGTGTTATACCTGCAGAGATGGGTGATGCATCTCACACACATTCGAAATGTGTAGAGGAGACGCTAATGAAAGAGAAGCAGGGGGAGTGCTGAATTATTAGTCCTAAATGTTAAATCGATTCGGTGTTCACGTTATTATTGAGTAGAGCCATCTGATCAATAACAGCGTTGGCAATGCCTCTACGTTGTGATGCTCGAGGTTTTGTAGAGCACCATACGGAGATAGAAGTTAATTTCTGTTTCTGCAATAAGGCATCTTCTGTTGAGGGGCATCTTCCTTGTTTCTTACATTTCAGTTAGTTAGATAAATTGTGTTCGCGTGGTTTAAATTTACAGTTTTTGGACTTCATTTTTAGATTCCCTCTAAATAGTGCGTCACCATATAACAATAGCGCAGACAATTACAGGGAGACATTCATTTATCTATGAATACTTAAAGCACTCTATCTTTTGCATAACGGTGAAATTAGCATCACCAGTAAAAGAGGGGTAGCGAGTTGTAACAGAATCGATTAACCATTCCATATCGGTCTTGGAAAGGTGTCATCACATTTTTAAAATGTAGCTGTGTTCGTCTGTGCGGAGGTGTTCTGTGCTCGACAGGACAGATAAAAGAGGGCCTAGTGGTCATGTTAGTGCAGCCGTACCTAATTCTGTCTGATGATTGTTAAAGAAGTAAATAGTTTATTTTATTTTCCCAATGGGGAGTACGTTTAAATAATGGGAGAATATAGTTGTCTGAATTAAAAGGTACAGGTTTGAGGGATGTATTTACTTCCTCATTGTGATCTAACCTTTTTGGGAGTGAATGATAAGAGAGGACTTCCTGAATCCGGTCTTCTCAGTAATGTAGAAATGTATTAACAATGTTTCACGCCAGAATTACGTTTACACGAAGGCGGCCCATCTAGCATATAGTGTCGAGAAATGTGAAGGTAGGACGAAGAACGGTTAAGTTGCACACTGGCGATATTTCCCTCTACTTGGACGCAGTAAACAAGCGACTTATTCTTTTTAAACAGGGGGGAAATTTCGAATGGAATGGAGACCCAACAAAGTGGCTCCTGTATGAAAAAGTATGCATCTTTAAAATTGAAGAAGAAGCAATAATATTAAAGAAGGATAGTTAATTAAAAATTACAAAAGAAAAAAAAAAAAAAACAGAAAAAGAAAAGGAAATGTGTTAATTCTGCAATGGCGGAGAGAGAAATGCTCCTCTTCGGAATCCTTAATAAACCTTGCTGCAACTCTCGATATTGATACGTTTGCACGGTTCACTGATGTCTACAGAGAAACAGATGAATCACAGAGTTTATTCCATGGACAGATACCCTTTTGAGTGCGCTTTTCCTTATGGGCAAAATGTGCAAGCTAATGACAGATTTGCAGGAGAAGATAGTGAATATCGAATTAGGACACTACAAGAATGTGCACTTGTTCGTCAATGAGTCCGAAGAAGTTTCGTTGAACTTTATTTCTGTCTGGATTTGTTCCGTTTCCAATTCCTCCGTTCGGACCTGTCTCCTCTGGACTTCTTTCGTTGGAACTCCCTTTGTTTTTGTGTCTATCCTTATCTTGGACACAGGCACTTAGCCGACATTCTACCCCCCCTCCTTGTGTTATAAATGGCTATGGGCAGGGATTTCAAAATATAAACCCTTCGTGCTCCCACGACGTAATATAAATCTACCAAACAAACAGAAGATATGCAATTAACAGTGGACTAGTGAACCCTTCAGCGGCACATTCCTTAGTGAAACACCGTTTCTAACACATGAACTTCATACGATTCAGTTTCGGGTTACTATATATAATGTATGAACTCTTAATTCGTGTAAGAAAGGAGCGTTAGGATTAATATGGTACTACATTAATATCCTCTTATTTTCAGCAGGCTTTCCTTTAGAAAGTGCATTTCGAAAGGGGGAGACATTTTTGGAAACATTTCGTTCTTCAATTTCAAGCTCCTCTATTCTTCTAATTACTACAGAAGTCGCATATGTGTTCATACATTAGCTTGCTACCACGAAAATACCACCGTACAGACAGGGGCGCATGTCCTTCGGGAAGGGCACTGCAACGCGTAGGAAGAGACATCTGCTAACCCTACGTATTGAAGTAATATACTTGCGACAATTTTAGGTAGGAGCATCAAGGAAAATTCGCCCAAGGTAGTGACAACCAACTGTGGGGGGGTTAAAGATAATGGGGGAAATTTTCGCGGTTCTATTTTGCAATCTTGAGCTTGGAAATGAGCACCCTGTTTTTTATCTTCACTGCTGTTTCAGTTCATAAATTTCTCTTCCTCTTCTTTTTTTTTGGTCCTAGGGTGCCGTTAAGTGGGCGTGATATTTAATCCTCTTAATATTTCTACATAAATGTCAGATAGTCACATTAGCCATCATTAATCCTGTGCGGGATGCATGAGAAAATTTTAAGCAGGACCCTTCCGAAAAATAAATGATAAGGAAGAAATCAAAGGAGTGTAAGGTTCAGGAAGATAATTCTTTTGGTACCGTTGGCGACAGCTTTCACTCCAAGAGACTGGCGGTACCTGCGTGACTTTTCCAGAAGCTGATCCATAGGCAGAGATATAAATCTCCTAGTTTGACTTATGAGAAGGTTGCATAATAATCGCCATAATTACGCAGTAGTGATTTTCCCTTTGTCTTTTTCATGTCCGATGCCACATTATGTGATGCAATCCATTATTTTGAGGACTTGAGAGAAACGGGAAATGATTCATTAGCAAGAATGTATGCAATATATGTAGCTTGTATATGTTTTATTCTTTTCTTATAGTTCCTATGCTTCGCGCTTTATGTAGAAGTACAATGTGAAGGAATGGAAATCCATTTTTCCTGTTTTCTCCCTCAAGAGAAATAAGTAGAAGTGGATTTGAAAAATTCCTGTATGGTACTATTATGTAAGGATTTTTTTGCAGTAAGAAGAAGAGAAAGAAATAAATGAAGATAAACCATTTTGGGTGTCTTTCGCTTCAGTTTAGTTAAATTTAGTAAACAACGGTATTTATCGGAATCAGCATAATAGAGTGCGACATAGTTTCTATTTTTCGTATAGAGTCCATTCCCCATAGAGTCTCTCAGAAAGGGAAGATTTTGATGAAGATCTTAATTTCATATGTAATACAAGTGATACAGTATATTATGTCTTACTCTAGGGTCCTGTGACATACGGGAATTTTTGCGAAAAAATAAGCAGCTAGCTGCAGGAAAAGAATATATGTGTATACAAATATTAGCAGAAAATTATCATGCATTATTTAGGACAAATTGACCTCAGTTATGATAGGTAAGGAATGCTATCGATTGGGAGTTCTTTCTATACTTATTGCGTATCCTTCCTTTCCAAAAGAGAAGGAATAGGGGAGCCGAAATCAGAGAAGGACAATAGGAAGGAATGGCGAACTGTAGAGCACAATGAGGAAAAGATGAAATGAGAATGATGAAAGGAGTATTGATGGGACATACCTGGATATCTATATATATGTATGTAGCACCCTAGGGAGGAGCTCCTTCAGGGCGTATGCACTTACAACAAATGCCATTCGAGTGTATGACCGCTTAATCGTTCTTTCTCATATTTCTCTTAACTGAATGTCAGGAATAAATAAAGGGGACAAGGAACATGATGCTTCAGGAATATAAATGCCCGGAAGATGGCAAGAACAAATAATCAGGGGTAGTGATTCCTTCTTCATGGATATTTCAGTTTATTCAAATAAAGTTAAGAAAGTTACGTTTCATACGACCATTGGAAGGTATTTGAGAAAGAATCCGGAAAGACAAATACTTCTAAACTGCCGCAGTTAACGGGCCATAAAGAATACGTCCTTTATTTTGTGCTGAAAAAGGGGTAGTAATCCTTTCCATATAGCATGAAATTTCTCCATTATATTTAGCAATGAGAACAATTATATACAAATATATGTATACTTCTGCTCACATCCAGTAAATTTAGGCTCTCTAACCCCGATTAAGAGTACGTTGAAGAACATACGAAGTTATGTGCGAAAGGCAACGTACACCTGGAGTTGATTTTTTTCTTTTTTTTTTTTTTAATGTTTTTACTGGAAGAATCAGCTTTATTGAGATTGAGACCATCTTTTTCTTAAGACCCACCATAATTTATTTTTATATATTTTCTTACGTAAATTCTTTTCAATTGCGCCTGATTTTATTCAAATTTAATCTTTTTTTTCTATTCACCCAAGGAAGCATAAGAATATTGAATTAGGTAAATGGATACAGATAATAACTATGAAATAAATTTAAATGAAGCGCATTTTAAAATAGAAGATGAGAGAAGGAGCACTTCTCATATCTTTACCTATTGACCAAAAATTTTGTTGCGTCCTATTCTTTTCTATTTTTATTTTTATTCTTTTGGTTTACCGAATGAATGAAAAATTCAGAGTATGAGTTTTAATTTTTTCTTTATCTTAAAAATGTAGACGTAAAATACAATAATAAAACAGAACAGCTAGGAATTAACATGTTCTATTTTTAATCCCTTGTTTATGTACAGATTAGACATATCTTCACAAATTTTTAATCTTCCTAAGGAGTAAGTCCTTAGATATTCCTCTAATTTGGATTAATCTCTTAGAAGACAGTGTATCTTAATGTTTTATTAGAGCATTTTTGACAGTTGTCCTATTTTGTAGGAAAGAAATAAGCAGTAAAAAGTGAAGACGGAGGTGACAAATGGACACATATATATGTACCTATATATCCATATAAATATGTATATGTATGTAGGTATAATGGCCTGATCATCTTATCTAATTCCTTCTACATTGTTGAAGATGTAATTTACATATAACAGGAATATATATATTTCCTCTATATGTTGAGGAGAACACTATAATTAAGAGAAAAAGGAAGGAAGACGGATAGAATTTCGTTTCCTTTCTCTTTTATATATAAGACCCATAAGAACACATGAAGAATTCAAAAAGGAGCAATTGCGCTCTACGAACAGCTGGTATAGCTAAATCCTGTGAGGGCCACAATGCCAATGCAAATGTCGTAAATTGTAAGAATAATGAAACCAATGAAATAAAGGCACAACGATGTGCCTTCTCCAAGAGAGTCCCTATCCTGTTTGTTCTTTCTACTTATATGTTCTTCAACGTAAGTCTTGAAAAAAAAAAGTGGATGAGAATATAGATATAAAAACATGGAAATGCCTGCACTACAGTCGCCACTCAAAGTGCGCAGAGGGAAGCCCATGTATATGTATATATAGCTATGTACTATGTGCCGTACGCCTGTGCTACTGTGTCCCTTTGTGACGGTGGCCCAATGAGTCTCCTTGGTTACAAGTCATGTCGCCACGTGCTAGGGCGTGTCTATTCGTACTTGTCATACATATCATACGGAGCACATGTAATGTTACAAGGAGGGTTCTTACCTTCGTTGTTTCTCTTTTTTTTTTTCGATATTTTATATTTCTGATATGATGAACTTCCTCCCACCCAGGCGCCGCATAAGAACGGTTTCGATGTGCAGGATGGTGTTTCGAAGTTATACATGAATCGCATGGCTCCTAGGAATTTAGCAACACAGAGAAAAGGAAATAAATCAAAGAATGTGCATAAACTTGCAAATAAAAAATTGACGGAAAATGCATCAGCTGTGGAAAACACCAGGAAGGGTGGTAAAAAGGCCATTGAGGGGGGAGAAGAAGAAACAACCGAACAGGATACTGAAGAGACCATTCAAGGGAGAGCAGAGAAAACATCCAAAAAGGGTGCTGAACAAACCACTCAAGGCAGAGCAGACAAAACAACCGAAAAGGGTGCGGAAGAAACCACTCAAGAGAGAGCTAAAAAGGTGGTTGAAGCAGTGAAGGAGAAAGAAAATTACATCGGAACCAATGTCACCGATAATACAACTTCTTCCCGTATATTGCAAGAATTGTCTGACGATATAGACAATGCTAATAAGAAAGGAAAGGAGAAGTTACAACACGCTCCAAAGCGGCATCGGCACCGAAAGAAAAAGCTCAAAGAATCTGAAGAAGAACCAAACCAGGAGAAGAATACACAGGAGCAGTTATGTGGAAAAAGAAAAATCGTAGATAACCATGCACAAAGACTACCAGAGTATAGTGAAAGTTCAGTGCGATATAATACAGAAGAACATGTGGATGATTCAGACGAAAGGCACGAATTATTATTTCAAAGGTTAAGAACATTAAAGAAATACACAACTCCCAGGGCTCATACTTTCTACTACGAATATATATATTCCCGCGGAGGACTGAGCAATTATGAAATAGATATCAAATTAGGAGAAATGGAGGAGGTACCTAAAAAACGGAAATTATGCTCTCTCTATTGGCAATCATACAGAAATGAACAACAAAAATATTTTGCAGTTAGGGAATATTTAGTAGAAAAATTTTTAGAATTAAGAAAAGAACAAAGTCATGAAGCTGTCCTGAAATATAACGAGAAATGGGAGAAATCTGAAGAAATAGTTGGTAATAACTTTACAGAGCAGCACCAACATGTTGCTGATGTCTTTTATACATTCGTGGGAAAAGAAAAATTCAGCAGAGATAATTTCAAAGAAATCTTAAAAGACATGAGAGCCTCATGGAAAGAAGTCACCCGTAAGACAAGGGACGAATGTGTAGCCCTTTTTGAAGAACCAGTAGTCTTAGGACAAGGAGTCCAAGTGACTAAGCCCAGCTTAAGAACCATGATCGCCAAGGCAACTGAGGGGGATTATATAGATTGCTCCTTTCTGAGTATAATATGGAGGCTTCTAATATGTAGCTGATAATAGGAGAAAAGATAATGGAGGACACTGGAGGGGCAGGTAGATTTTTACCATTCCGAGAAGGTCTTAATGATGTGGAAACTAAGAGAGCTTTCATGCTTTAATTTCTCTTTTACTGATCTATTACGGCCAAGAACAAGCCAATGCCTCTGAAAATAACTCCTAGTCTGCAAATGAGAAGTTCTTTATCTGTTTGTTTTTCACATGTTATGTTCCAATATTCTGTCAGGATTTAAATTATGTCATGTCCAAGAGAATTTCTTCTTTGTCACCCGTTCGCACAGTGCTACTCCTCGAGCGACCGCAATGCATCGTAAGCTCGGTAAAAGCCTTGTTTTGAACACGTGGAAGTAATTTAGGAGAGGGAGTCGTAAGATGTGTGCATATACATTATGACACATGTGACGGAGTCTTGTTGCAGAAATGGAGCATAAGGGGAAAGAGCCCCCAAAGGACGATTTATTTTGTTGTAAAGTTCCTTCTCTGTTTTTTCTTTTCAGTTACGAAAGAAATTCCTCAAAGTATAAGGAAGACATGCGCATGTTTTCAAAATTATGTACTATTATCGTTCTCCTATGAATATGCTGTTCGTGGCTCATTTCACAGATTTGTAGACGACTGCGTGAGTGAGTAATGCGTTTACGATATTTTGTTGTTTGCTTAGCCTTGAATAAGTTCCAAAGGATCATTTAAAATTTAAATGAGCCTTATAAGAATAACAAGTTATAATTTAGAGTTGTCTTGAGGGAGGCTACACTGTTCCGGAATGCAGCAATGAGGATGTCTTCTTCGTACACTAGAGAGGGATAATGCGATCTCCTTAAATAGAAGCGTAGGAGTTATCCCATGCATAAGTAACCCTAATTTGTAAATTGGCCGAATATGCATTACAGTTTCCGGATGTTTGAAAAAAATATCCTTCCTTCAATGCAGTCTGATTCATTCGCATCTGTACTATATATATTTAGGTTTGCTTTATTTTTCGGTTGAATTCCGGATTTCCATTTTCGGAAGTGTTACAGACAGGGTTAGTAATGCAACAATAGACTTATTAATTGTCATCAGCATGCATTAATATACTGACAGATGGCCATCATCTCACATTTCAAGAAAACCGATGCCACACACTTTTCACAACTGCACAACGAACATATGATTATGCTGGGAGCATACAAATCCGAAATGGGGACATAAAAACACGTTTGAGCAAAATGTATTACGTCTAAATTTTAGAAGGCAATAATGTCAGGCGAAGAGAAAAGATGTTACAGAAAGGGAGATGCATTCTTAAATGGGTGAAGTGCTGTATTGCTAGCAGGCATGTGAGTAGATGATTTTTAAGAGAAGCATTTCCATGTAAACTAGTGTCCTTATTTATTCGTAAGTAAATATGTGTTAACTTCATTTTGCACATGTTTTCTATAAATAAGTTTATGAGTAGTGAATTTCATGTCTCCGCTTTGAAGAATTTGAGTTACATATTTGACC